AGATCGACCCTGGTAAAAACCATGCTGCTCGTCCATTATGTGGTGCTTATATGTTTCGAAGATATTCTCTGAAATGATGGCCTCTGATAGTTTAGGGATAGCTGATAATAGGGAAATTCCTTTGAAGTTGCGAACGTCTTGCCTGGCGCCAGATTTGAAAATTGGAAAAATTGTTGATTTTTTCCAGCAGTCTGAAAAGTTACCCTGATTGAAAGATCTTTGAAATAATTTGCACATCAGAGGTTTTGACATGGAACGGTGAGGGCAGAGGGGGAATGCCATCAGGACCTGGACCCTTAGAGCTTTAGCGTTGATGTGATATTATTTTCCAAGAAGTCATAGGAGGATAGCGTACAGACAAATACCCCAGGGAAATTGGACTTCCTCTGCGTAATGAGGCCGAACAAGCAGAATTTTTGCAGAGGACCTTCGTTTTGATGTTCTAATGAAGCACAAAAAAATCGATAATGCCTTCCCTTGTGCGTCTTGAAATATCGAAGGTCAAAGGTCACGGAAATCTCACTTCCAGTGCATCTGACGTCGAAGAACCCGGAACAAAACTTACGTAAAATAGCATTTTTTACAAAATTGTTTCTATACATTTTTTTGTACGACCAACCCTTTTCGAAATATAGCGTGATAAAGTGGGAGCGCGCATTCAAAATAGGTGATGCTCTATTATACAGGATGACGCCGTTCAACTGGTCTAAAATGCTAGGGTATATAGAGGAACCATGGAGAAATAATTTGAGATGGGACACCGACAGTCGGAAGTAGGTACGTCGTTTCCAAAATACAGGGTGTTGAAATTTAAACAACCCCCTTTCATATAATCTGGAGGGCTAATGCTAGGCTGTTTAATTTTTCAGGGATGATTGATGTAGGAATGATATCTAAAAATTCACATAATGCACGCCCATTTTCTACCTGGAATCACCCCAAAAAAAATTAAAAATTGCTTTTTTTATTCAATTTTTTTTTTTATTGGGATGGTTCCAGGTAGAAAATGGGGGTGCATTATACGAATTTTTAATCATTCATTCCTGCATCAATAATACCTGGATATTTGAACAGCCTGGCATTAGCCCTTCAGATGATATAAAAGGGGGTTGTTTAAATTTCAACACCCTGTGTTTTCGAAATGACGCACTTCCGACCATCGGTGTCCTATCTCAAATTACTTCTCTATGGTTCCTTTATATACCCTAGCGTTTATGACCAGTTGAACGGGGACACCCTGTATAATATAGTATCACCTATTTTGAATGCGCGCTCCCGCTTTATCACGCTATATTTCGAAAACGGTTGGTCGTATAAAAAATGTATATGAACAATTTTGTAGAAAATACTACTTTACGTAAATTTTGTTTTGGGTTCTTCGACGTCAGATGCACTGGAAGCGAGATTTTCGCAAAAAAACGATTTTCGTGACCTTTGTGGTCTGTGTAGCAAGATTGAAAGTAGGCGCCAAAAGCATAGGAAATGGCCTGATTGTCGGCGAAAACTTGCCCATTATGTTGAAGCGTAGCTGGAATGCCCGAGGCCTTTCTTAAGGAATTAACGTTGTGACAAAATTGAGATCTTAAGAAGAATAAACATTTTTGGTAGCGTGAATAATTCTGTCACATCTTAATTTGCGTAGGTACCATAATTATGCTGAAAATTAAATTTAATCTGAAAATGATCCTAAATACCAAATTTTCCGAACCCGAGGCAATTCAAACAAAAATCTCACTTCTTCTCTTCTTCGGTTATGGTTAGTGCAAAGGGTTATAGATTCAAGATGACTTACCTTTTTATTGCTAAAGTTGCTAACTCCCCTCCTAAATTGCACAAACCGGCACGAAAGATCTTTTTCGGCCACTACCAGTGATTTGAACAATATGATAGGTACCAAAAAAATGAAAACTCCTTTCTTTTAAAAAGAATAAAATTAATTTATTTAAAAAAAAATGAATAATAAAAATTAAAAAAAATAAAATAAATGAAGACAATGTTTGGTTTCCAATTAAAGATTTAGACTAAAAAAAATAAACAGATTTTAAAAGAAATTGAATTGAAATGAACCATCACCTTCTTTGGAGAGCTTTTCCACTAATCACTGAGTGGTAGATGAACTTAGGAGAAGAACGAAGAACGGATCGAGCGACGACTGTGACGAACACTAACTCGTTAAGTTTTTGTTTTACTCTAACAATTTCCGACGATAACTGCCGATAGCTTCATCAACTCTCGCTTAAATAAGCGAGAGAGAACCAACCCCTATTTCTTGAAAGGTACCAATCTTAGCAGCTCATTGGCTAGCTGTTAGTACCTAGCCCTCTCCCATATTCCTTATTGCTCTTTCCTTATTGGTGCTCGTATCGTTCATTCTATTTATACCCTTAGTGACATAGTTTGAAAGCCCTCCAATAGAGTTCGCTAGTCATATGCAGAATATAATTTTGATAACTGAAATTACCGTTTTCCCTTTAATTGGAAAATCCTACTTTCTATATGCCTTCTGTTAACCTAGTCAAACAGTTTTTTTTATTTTATAATTATTATATATAGCTTTTAATATGACAGAGTTCATGATAATTATATAATAATTTTTTTAAGGTTCCATCTGAGAGCAAAATGCTTTAGACAGCAATAATATCCGAAAGAAAATATTAGTAAATTAATTTTATAAATGTTTCACATAGTGCTAATAAAACAATTTTATAGATGTTCGCAAACGAATGAACTAGTATCAGATAACACCAATATAAATCTAATATAAAACAGATTTGTTCGGTGAGCTAAAATGTCATATAAAATTATTGTGTAAACGTTTATAAAACAATATTAAAATTTGTCATTAAACTGTTTTGTATTTTTGTTCCAAGAACGTTCTTACGACTACCTTATAGAGCAGAATACTTCTTAGAAGCTTAATTATCTCGCTTGCAATTTTAATAAAACAAAATGGCGTTCGACGAGCAGTAATAAACTAATTATAAAATAAAATAGCAGCGGAGAGTTAAAAATTATAAAATATAATTGCTAGTTGGGGTGTGAAATGAATTAAATTATTCTATACTTAAATACTAATTTATGCCTAAAATAATTGGATAGTTAACTCCTTTGATTTTCCTATTCTATACAATTTCGTGTTATTGTATCTTGGAAAATCTGGTTCCCGTAATCATTGTTTTAGCCCAAACACACATGCTTCGAATATAAGTTCTCTGAAATCTGGGTTCGCCATAAAACGTTGGGAATTATCGTTCTTGAATACTTTATTACAAACATATGTCGTAATCTGGTGCAGCTACAGATTAGAATCACATTTGGTGTTTATCTAGGAGAACACATAATTTTGCCTAATAAATTTGTCAATTTGGCTTATTTTTAACTTGAAAACTAATAAAACTTGATACATTTTGCTTTAAGTGTTTTCCCTTAATTCTCGACCAGATTAGTTATCGTTCCCAGAATCGCCATATGTTTGTAAAACCCATTAAATTTTTTTTTTAACTATTTCTAAAAACCGTCTCTGGTAACTCCCATGAAATACGTACTTGAACCGAGATTTGAAATTTACTATTAATTCTGTTACAACGTAGGACATAAGGTGCTTGATATTTGTAGGTAGTACATGCTCCTTGTGCGATATAAAGATGGCATAGCAAAGATCTATTTGATATTTCGCTTCCCTTCGCAGGTTTGAATAAATCTTATAATCGTGAGGATTCCTGGAGTTTCTGTACTTTTTGTAGTACTTGTTTTTGGAACTTATAAGTTTTTTTAGTGGAGCACTATACCACTTCGGAAACCTATTAAGTATCTACGACGGCTGGTTAAGGCACAAATCAATCAAGGGCAGAATAAACAATGCGATAGAAATTTTCCACTATCTCATCAAGGTTCAAAGGTTCGTCGATGAAAGACCAATCCATATGAAAAGAGTGAGAATTGGAAGCGTTGTAGTCAGCTGTATGAAAATTGAATGTCACGATCTCAGAACAGTTATCCCTCACTATTTCCGTCACACCGGTGTCAAAGGTAAGCTCGAGGGCTGGATGGTGAGGATATCACTTGACCAAAGGATGGTTGCTTTGTTCAACTAAGTTTCCAAGATCCTGCCCAAAGAATTTTTAACCTGATTGACCTGTTGCAACTGCAAATAATACATTGACTCAATTAAGGTTTCTTCAGCTAAGGTTTTCGATTGTGTTGGAGCCAGGAAGCATTCCTCAAGACACGATTCTATATGGGGAAGGTCGAAGTCCCCAACTATCAAAAACGCTGCTCTGTGATACCTCTTTCGAAGTACCTCAACCCTGTCCATGAATTCCTGGTATGTTTCGACAGCAGAGTTTAGGGCAATGTAGATGCAACTAACCACAACCAAATATCCACGGAAAGAAGAGGACAAGTGCAGGTGAATCAATTGCGGATGCATTGAGATCTGAAGATACCGCAACCAAGGATACCCTACTACGCCGAAGACCAAGTATACGGTCATCATGGTCATGACGGAACACTGTATAGCCATTCCGAAAATATTCTCCGTTAAGATGTCCTGGAGACCGCCAAGTCTCCGTATAGTAAGCGAAATGGCGTCATAGTTGCAGGCCTCAACGCCGTGTGAGAATTCTCTAGATTTCGTGTTCAGACGCAATGCAGATCTAAAAAAGACTGCTTGAAGACTTTGTGTGCTGTCTGGGTTTAGCTCTACGAGCATCTTCTGAACTCTTAGAAATCTATCAAAGAAAAAATGTTATATAAAGCTATTGTTAGGATCAAAGATTATTAGGATCTAGTACTATAAAAAAATCGATTTTCTTTATTTTTTCCTTTAAATTTTTAATCCAAAGGTTTGAGAAAAAAAATTCCTATTTCCCGTTTTTCAAAACATTATTTTTTAATTAAATTCGCAGACCTGATGTCGCCAACATTTTAGTATTCTCAAGCTGTAGAATAATTTAATTAAAAAGCATCTTCAAACTGATGTGTAGCGTGTCCGTGTAGAATATAAATAACTTTAATATAAAAAGTCAACATATTCTTTAAAATTAATCCCTTTTTTGTGTTTTATACACTTTTATTATTATATAAATAGCATACAGATATTATATAATAAAAACGAAATCGAATATAGTATATAATAAGAAAGAGACCTTTTTATGTTAGAAGCATTGGCATTGATATTGTTTGTTTCAAGTTTCACTGGTTTATTCGCCTTCAAAATTCGCTTCTTGTCTTGAAGAATGGTCTCATTTAAAATATCACTCCCACATAAGCCTGGATACTCAGGATTTGTACAAAAAGTTCCTTCTGGGCATGCAGTACATGCTTCACCAATTTTATATACAGATTGTTCGGGAATATTTCCCGAAGGTCCATAGTTGCAAAAAAAATGTTCGATATAAACTATATAACCTTCCTTATTAGCTTCTTGAAAGCTGACTCTTGCACATCCTATGAGGTAGGTGTCTGCCCAGACTAGTTGGGCATAGTCTGATAGACCTTCAAACATCTTTTTGTCATATTTCTGTATCATGTCACGATTAACAAAATGCACCAACTCAAACCAATCAGCTACAAATTGTAAATCGTTTCTTGAAGCGTAATTGCCTCTGGCAATGTTTTGACCAACTGGAAAACGTTTTAAATCTCTACAACGGTCATGATTATAAACGCACTGCGTTGCCCAGCGTAATGCTACACTTGCCAACTCGTTATCCCAAGAAATATACCTCATATTTGCTGCTGCAGGTTGTGGGCCTAGAAACAAAACCTTCAAATATAATTCTTATTGAATTAATAACATTCTTTACCAGGATATCCATGTTCTTCAACACCCATAGCAATCCTATTTCTGAAGGTATTATGCGCATCGACTATTGCCTCAATTTCGTTTCGTGAAAAGTCCATCACTATGAGTCCTTTACAAGCCGGACTTATCTTCTTCGAACCAAATGCGCACATTGTATGGATACCGCATTGTCTTCCTCTGTAATGCCGATTGATATCGACACAGCAAATTGAACAATACGGATTTGTGGCGTTGAATATTTCAGATTTATTTTCGTTATTGTGATGCGATAAAATTGAATTCAATCTCCCCAGGATTTTGTTGGCGTGATCTGATTCTACATATTGTATCAGGAAAATCAGTATAAATTTGAGTATCATGTTTGTAAAAAGCACGATGATACAATTTTGATTTTTTGACACATTTGACAGAACGGTTAATGGACAGAACGTCTATGGACAGAACCATAGAGAAATATAATAAACCAAGGTAAGAGTACCTGATTGAAAACATGAAAGTTTGTATAGCGCTGACGTCATACCGACGGTGGCGTCAATAGTGGCAGCCGGAACATATACTGAAATGGCGGGAATTTTGAAATTTGACTTGAGTTGATTGCACAAAAAACTTACTTATGTTGTTCCACATCTTTTTTTCTCAAATCCGAATGAGAAAAATGATGTGGTACTCCATAAAGTGTTGTGCCATTTTCTGATGTAGATTAAAAAAAAAAGGCAAAATAAACACTAAATTGTACTAGAAAAAATATATATTATAGCTAGATAGGTCAAATACCTAAAGAGTTTACAAACACAGTTATTACATCCCTTATTCATGATTTAAATTCAAGGCCTAACATCTACATTTTATCTCTTCTGACTGAGGTCTCCTAAAACAGTAAAAAAATATGCCGTATATCACAAAACTAACATGTATACTTACTGGTTCAGTTTATCCTAGCTGTACATAATATTATAGGTATGCGATACCGAGTGCCTAAATAAAAATGACAATTTCTTCTTTTTGTTCTTTAGATTTTGTGAGTTCGAGTCTTCTTAGACGACCGCCTAATCGGTTAAAAATGACAAATTTCAACACGGAAATGTCGTTATTTTAAGGTTACTTATTTGTTTTCTCGGTCACAGTTTCTATAGTTGGATGTTTGATAGGTTTCTACAAAACACCTAGGAAAGCTCTGTAACTCATACGGTGTCCTTGTCTTGTGAATTGGTATGACAGAGCAAGATGAAACAGAATCGAATGATGGGAATGATCTTTCGTAAGTCTCTAGCTTTCCAAAAATTCCGCAATGCGCTATGCGCAACCGGATACGCAGTAATCGTATAACCTATTTCGGCTATACTTTTGAAGGTCTTTTTATTTTTTATTGTCTATGGACAGAACTATGCGGTTACCTAGGTACCCATATGAAATAATAGGCTATGTAGTTATCCATTAAGGGCCCTAAACACTACCTTCTTTTTCGTTGGAACGCAGTCCCATACAGCACAGAGCATATCTTGAATAGGTTTGAACTGTTTTGGATGTTTATTGAAGGTCTAAATTTCTACAGCAATTTAAATTCGCTCCTAAAAGCCTTCTGAAAGGCGTTTTGTAACTACCCTGAAGAATCTGGCGCTTTTCAAACTGTTTCTGAGAGTGTATGAGTGTTTTGGACTTTGGAACGTTCTAAAATGGATTTAAAACTTCTGACTTATTCTAAAATGCTTTTGGAGATTGTAAATCGGTTTTTGAATGTTTTGGGGCATTTTGAAATGGTTCTGAAATTCCCAGAATGTTCTGCTGAAGCGCTACAGAATGCTTTTGAAAATTCTGAATTGAATTTCAAGTGTTTTGAACTATCCAAGAGGCTCATTAAAGTTCTAAAGTGTTTTGTAGCTTTCTAGATGGTTTCTATAATCTAATATATAAAATTCTCATGTCACAGTTTTAGTTACCTTCGTCCTCCGAAACGGCTTTACCGATTTTTATGAAATTTTATATGTATATTCGGTAGGTCTGAGAATAGGTTTTAAGCTATTTTTTATACCCCTAAGTGATAAGGGTGGTCCACCCCAATTTTTTTAATTTTTTCTTGCTTCTCACCACTACATAACTCAACTTATTTTTGTTTATTCCATTCAACCGACGTAACATTATTATTTTATAGCATTTTTGGCTTTACTGCTCCCAGAGCGCTCTCTATTTGGGCGGTGACGTCACAGATCTCTGCGGAAGTGCTCCGAGAGCGATTATGATCCCAGCGAGGCATCCTATTTGAAATCAATAACCAAATGATGTAAAATTTTAATTTTAGGTGATTTCTGATCCAGAGAGTAAACATTAGTTTTCTTCAACCAAGGCTAAATTCACCATTGAAAAAAACTGAATTTAATTCATCTACTAGATACGTTAACACAACATTTAATAGGTATTTAATAATTCATAGGCGGTACGAAGTCCACCGGGTCAGCTAGTAACTTCTAAAATGAATGAGAAACGAATTTTGTGAGAATTTTCTGAAGACATATTAAAGACGTTCCTAAGATGTTTACAAACGATATTCGATGCGTCTTGCTTGCGTCTTTGAAGCGTCTTGAAGACATCTTGGAGACGTCGTATGTTACAAAACCCAACGTGTTTCAGACGTCTGCCTAAAGACGTCTTTAGGACTAAGACATTCTAAAAACGTTTTCAACAAGATGTCTTAAAGACGTTTTTGAATCTCTTTTCAATACATAAACCCGAGCATAAACCATTAGTCAAATTTAGGCCCGGTTGTAAGTTGTATCAAATAATTGTCTTTAAGATGTGAAATTACGACATCTTATATGAACATCTTCAAAACAGTGTCTTCTGGACGTCTTTTAGGGGTTCAGATGTAATCTTTTTCTTCTTCCACTGCGTATCCACTAATGGATATTTGCGATAACATTTTCCATTGCTTCTCTATTCCTTGCGGTGTGTATGAACGACTGCACATCATGAAGCCCTGTCCACTGTCTGATATTTCGCAGCCAAGACATTTTCTTTCTTCCGATCCCTCTCCCGCCATCGATCCTGCCTTTGATCAACAGGTGCAAGAATTGGTATTTCGTGTTTCGCATAATATGTCCCAAATATGTTGTTTTTCTCTTTTTAATCAATTCAAACAGTTCACGTTGTTTGTTGACACGTCTCAGGACTTCTTCGTTTGTTAGTCTAGCCGTCCAAGGTATCTCAAGGATTCTGCGATACAGCCACATCTCGAAAGCCTCTTATTTGTTAATTGCAGTCACCTTTAATGTCCAACCTTCCATACCGTAAAGAAGCACTAACCAAACGTAGCATTTCATGAATCTGAGTCTTAGGTTAAGGTCAAAATCGGAACAGGTAAGCACTCTTCGAAACCTCAAGAATGCCTGTCGAGCTTGTCAATGCGACATTTTATTTACTTGTCTGATGTTCAATCTTCAAGAAGCCAGACGCCGAAGTACTCAAATTTATCTACTCTCTCTATGGGCCTTGCGTTAAATGTTATGGTGGAGATTTCAAACATATTTGGGTCTCTAGAGATAATTATAAACTTCGTTTTTTTTTGGTGTTGATATTTAAGCCCATTGATTTGCTCTGTTATCCTACCTTGTTGACTAGTTGTTGTAGGTCGTATACAGGGTGTCCCACGGTGGATGGCGTATTAGACGTTTATGGAGAACTAAAAAGCGGATCATTTTGAAAATTTGGCAACCGGGATAAACGACCATGATCTACACTTTAAAAATATTTTTGACCATGCGGTGTTGCCGCTTCTACTCTAAACTAGTGGCAACATCACTATTTTAAATGGAACACCCCGTATTAAATTGCATATTTGGATTCTACGTAAAATTCTGAGCAGATTTCATGTGATATACCCTATACCTAAGTTCAACTGTTTTGGAAATATAGACAGTTGAAAATTGACTTTTTGCAACTTTGACAGGCTGTAGAACCTGAACGGTTAATTTTAAAGGAAAACCGATTTTACATTCCTATATTAGATTTTTATAAACTATCATTTGACACCATCTTTGAATTAAATTCATGATTAAAAATTTCAGTTAAATTTAATCTCCGGTTAAGTTCAAAGTTGGTGTCAAATGATAGTTTATCAAAATCTAAGACAGGAATGTGAAATCGGTTTTCCTCTTAAATTAACCAATTAGGTTTTACAGCCTGTCACAGTTGCAAAAAGTCAATTTTCAACTGTCAATATTTCCAAAACAGGTGAACTTAGGTATAGGGTATGTCACATGAAATCTGCTCAGAATTTTACGTAGAATCCAAATATGCAATATAATACGGGGTGTTCCATTTAAAATAGTGATGTTGCCACTAGTTTAGAGTAGAAGCGGCAACACCGCATGGTCAAAAATATTTTTAAAGTGTAGATCATGGTTGTTTATCCCGGTTGCCAAATTTTGAAAATGATCCGCTTTTTAGTTCTCCATAAACGTCTAATACGCCATCCACCGTGGGACACCCTGTATGTTATCAGCAATTAAGACCGTATCGTCAGCATAGCGGATATTGTTAATCCACACTTCATTAACTTGACTCCCATTTCCATGTCTTCCAAAGCCTCCTGGAAAATCGCTTCCGAATATAAGTTGAACAGGAGCCGAGACAGCACACATCCCTGTCGCACCCCTTTTCTTATTTGTATGGTGTTGGACATATTATTTCCTAATTTGATTTCCGCTGTTTGGTTCCAGTATATGTTTTCGATGCACCTAATGCCTCTCTGGCCTATATCAAGCTTATTGAGGAGCTGCGTGAATTTTTGGTGCTCTACGCGATCGAATGCCTTTTTGTAATCTATGAAACATATGAAAAATTAACAGTATGAAACAAAATTTTATTTTCTAGGGCAGTTTCTTATACAAAAAAAAATAGGAACATAAGTTTAAACGAGAATAAACGGAATAATACCTTTAAAAAAACTTATAGGAATAGAAAAACAATATTAAATTCTCTTTTAACTAGGTACTGCCTAGACCTATAAAGACAAGTACCTGAAGCGTAAAAAAAAATATCTGCTAAATAGTTTCAATAGGCTAAGTACCTACCTACCCCTATTTTATATTAACGAAAAATATGAAATCTTTAGATTTGATGAAATTAAATTAGCACTGACTACATTTATAATCTTTGAACGGCGGCAATTTCAGAAGGAGTATCAATAAATTCGGTACACTTTATGTGAATCCATTTTTCACAAAAGTCACAGCCGATGTTTTTCTTATCTTCATCCTCTGTGTCACTATTAAGATCTTTTTGGCATATTGAACAGGATACTTTAGATTTGGTGGTAAGTTTTTGAGTTTGAAAAATAAAAATTATATTCAATATTCAACTAACAATTAAAAATAGAAAGACTTTTCTAAATATTATTATTTGAATTGAAAATGGACAACTTGAAACTCAGTTCTCGACCACCCCGGTCG